CAATTCAGCTGTCCTAAGGAGCACATATAGAGATGAGCTGGAGTTACTGTGGTCAGAGTGGGCATGGAAAAGGGCAAGACTCACTAGGAAACCTGGATTCCTTTGTTGTGCTGCTCAGTGGACAAATTGCTTAATGCAATAGTTGGATTTTCAGTGCACAGGTAACAAGCCAGATGTTTTATGGCCATGGTCATTGACTTTACCGGTAGACCCGGAGCACACCCTCAGTAGATTGGAGAACAGACCCTGAGTTTTGGGCAGCCCCTCGTCACATTTGACCTGCCTGGGGTGATGGGTGACGGTAAATTGGGAAAGGTGGTAAAAGGTGTTTCAAGACACTTTACCAAGCTGAGGACTGCAGTGCTTTAAGAAAGGGCACTAGTGCACAGTGCAAACTTTGGCTCTTTTTTGAGGCTGTATTCATTATTGTGCTACAAGCAAACTTGGCAAGCAAGGATTTGGAGCGCCTGCCTTGGCAGCTGGCAGCCCACACCCAGGGTAAGCACATAGCCCCTTTACAATAGTTTTGCCACAGAAACAAAACCTGGAAAAGCAAAGAGCGCTCTGCTGCCAGGGAAGGGGACTGCTGAGGAACTGCCTGTGGGGAACCCAGGATGGCTCGAATCTACATCCCACCACGAGGTACCACAGGGGTCCAAATGCAATGACATCTTGCAACGTATAGCATCGGGACGAAATGCAGACTGCCTGTTTCTCTGGATGTTGGATGAGAGGGCGAAGTCCAGGGAGCATTTAGTCCTCTTTGGAAGGGGTAGGAAGACAAGATCCCGTTTGACCTTTCTCTGGTGCCTACCCCAGACTCGAGGTTGTCTTCAGCTCTGGCAGCTGTGCTCGCCTGGGCTGGGTGGGAGACGCAGGTAGCCGGCTCTGCTGCAGCAGGCTCTGCCAGCCTCCTGATTTCTGGCTCTCGGGGATATATGCTTCCTGCGGGAGGCATGTGCAGAGCTGTTGGGAGCAGAAGCAGTGCAGGCAGCCTGAATCGCATTCCTCCAATCCTGTTTCTCAGCAGGGCTCTTATTGCAGGGCTGTATTTCCCCTTGATTGATTACCTCTACTATTGTGGGGCTGACATCTTACACAGGAGTCCTGCTTGGTTCCTTATCATGGGAACATGAGGAATGATCATTCCCCAGCGACACCCGTCGATAACAGTGAATAATAGCCGGGAAGGGAGGCAGACGATAGTAGGAACATGCTCAACAGAGGTGCTGTTATTCTTGGGACAGGAGGCTTCTGCAGAGGAGGAGGAGAGCTTGGGGGGTAAACGGGGGGGTCCTGTCATTGCTGATGCTCTCTAGGGCTCAGCAGCTGGAGAGAAACATTGGCTAAGGATGGTCAAAGCTGGGAAGGAAGAAAAGTGAGGAGGGAAAGGCATGAAGTGAAAGGAGCTAAGAGCCACGCTGGAGAGCATACAGACAGCCCGGTGTCCTCTGGTGCGCAAGGGATGAAGGAAACAGGCTGTGACTGACTATGTGGACCATCTGGGTGATCATCTTCTGGATTTCATCCGTCCTGGTAGGTGCTCAGAGCTATTTATTCCCAATTGCATGGAATCACATGTTGTCTCAGTAAGTGTACCTCTACTCCATGAAGTCGTGGTGTCTTTGTTTAAAAAGGTCTGTGTAGAAGCTGGGATTTTTTTATTTTATTCTTGCTTCTGGTGCTTCCTGCAATAATTGACAGTGGCCAGATGGCTAGATGCTAGATGCCTCATTTTCCCCACCTATATAAAGACAGTGGCATGCCTCAGGTTCCCCATCTATATAAAGGCAGCAGTGTTACTAACCTGCTTTGGTAAACACAACAGGTTCTGTGATGAAGGAGAAAAGATTTGATGCCATTTAGAGAAGCTTTGCTGATTTACACCAGCAAGCAATCCCCTAAGGAGGAATGCCCACCACTACCAAAGCCTCCCTTTACTCAGGCTGAAGGAATGCAAAGCAATGTTTGACCCGCAAAGTTTGGTTTCTTTCTTTTAGCTTTGTCACTTTGCTGGGAATTTATGTGGCAGATTGTCACTGCTGAGCTCTGAGCACTCAGACTGGTTGGGAAGGACAGCTGAACCTGGGCTGTGATCTCCAGGTGCTGCTCAGCTTATTCATATTTTGAAAGCATAGAAAGCCAAGACTGAAATATGTCCAGCCTGGGTGTGAGAAGTTGGGAAAGGATCAAACTCTTGGCAAATGTAAAAAATCACTGTTTCATTGCAACTAATGGAAAAATCAATCTATTTGTCCCACCAGGGGATTTGGTTCAAACTCTGAGAAAACCCAAGCTCTGCCTACACATTTTAATTTTAATGCTCAGCAAGTTTGCAGATGACACCAAGTTGGGTGGGAGCGTTGATCTGCTCGAGGGTAGGAAGGCTCTGCTGAGGGACCTGGACAGGCTGGATCGATGGGCCGAGGCCAACTGTATGAGATTCAACAAGGCCAAGTGCCGGGTCCTGCACTTTGGCCACAACAACCCCATGCAGCGCTACAGGCTTGGGGAAGAGTGGCTGGAAAGCTGCCTGGCGGAAAAGGACCTGGGGGTGCTGCTTGACAGCTGGCTGAACATGAGCCAGCAGTGTGCCCAGGCGGCCAAGAAGGCCAATAACATCCTGGCCTGTATCAGAAACAGTGTGGCCAGCAGGAGTAGGGAAGTGATCGTGCCCCTGTACTCGGCACTGGTGAGGCCGCACCCCCAATACTGTGTTCAGTTTTGGGCCCCTCACTACAAGAAGGACGTCGAGGTGCTGGAGCGTGTCTAGAGAAGGGCAACGAGGCTGGTGAGGGGCCTGGAGCACAAGCCTTATGAGGAGCGGCTGAGGGAGCTGGGGTTGTTTAGCCTGGAGAAAAGGAGGCTGAGGGGAGACCTCATCGCTCTCTACAACTACCTGAAAGGAGGTTGTAGCGAGGTGGGTGTCGGTCTCTTCTCCCAAGTAACAAGCAATAGGACAAGAGGAAATGGCCTCAAGTTGCACCAGGAGAGGTTTAGATTGGATATTAGGAAAAATTTCTTCACCAAAAGGGTTGTCAAGTGTTGGAACAGGCTGCTCAGGGAAGTGGTAGAGTCACCATCCCTGGTGGTATTTGAAAGACGTGTAGACATGGTGCTTAGGGACATGGTTTTAGTGGTGGACTTGGCAGTGCTAGGATAGTGGTTGGACTCGATGATCTTAAGGTAGGTTGGTCTTTTCCGACCTACACGATTCTATGATTCTATGATTCAGAGTGAATGTAATCTACAAACTTTTTTGCCTTTTGATTGTCTTCTGCAATAAAAATAGTGACTGTGATGGTTTTCTTGTAGTTTTGTTTTCTTATTCTTAGGTATTACCTAAAGGACTCTGTAAATAGATGTCGTTGCTCAGGGTGCCACTGAGAGCATCTCCTTCCACTTGTTCTCTTTCTAATCCTTCAAAATACCTATTTTGATTTTGCCAGGCATCTTTTGTTCTCCTTTAAATCCTCTCATTAAACTAAACCCACTTACTTTCAAATTAAATGGCTGTGAATTCTGTGGCTGCAAATATTATTTATATTAAATAGTGTTTAGATCCATTCATTTCACAGGTTAAAAACTGTAGTTGGCTGTTGCTATCCAATATCACAAACTGCCTGTTCTGGACATCTAGTTCTCACAGCTATTTCTGTTTGGAATGGTTTTGGTACCTTATATTTTCTTTAAACAAAATATGAGGATGTCTTGCCCCCTCATCAAAATCTGACAGCCTGTGAGCTGGGAGCTGTTTCAGTGAACTGTTTAGGAAGAGACGAAGAAACCACATGTAGAGGAGCCCATTTTCCTCCTTGATTTCAAGGCGCAGGGGCAGGCTGTTTGCTCCCAGTTGTGGATGGTAAACACGAGCGAGACTGAGCGCAGCCGGCAGCGGAGCAGGGTTATCTGGCCGTGGCACGGGAAACGGGATTTTGCATTGCTCAGCAAACAGCTGTGCCGGACCTGTGACAGCCCCGCTCACGCCCAGCCTGCCCCATCAGATGCCAGCGTTGGCAAAGCCTGACCAAAGGACAGCATTTGTGGAAAACAAGGTCTTTAAAACAGCACCTGGAGGCTCTCTGCTTTCTCTGGGTTTAAAATCTGGTTACTCGCATGTCTATTACCAGACAGCGGTATCTGATCAGAAGAGTAGGGTGGACATAACTTGGTGGGGTAAAACAGTAATTGTAAGGCACTAACTACACTATATTCCTGCTTGAGCAACACATTTATGTAAGAAAATAATGCTCTATCAGATCATCGGGGTGGTCTTCACAGCTGAATGTGCTGAAAGCATGCGGCCTCATTCTAGCCATAAAGAAATAACGTAGTCTTTAAATCTCTTTCTAGAACAAAAGCTTTCTTAGGACCTACATTTCTTAAAAGGAAATGGTGCCCACAAGTTGTATAGCTTTTTTTAAGGTGAATGATTTTCCTGTTTCTGAGATCATTACTAATGTGATTGCTAGCATTTATTTTTACGTATGTGCAGTATCATCTTTAACGACCCGCATGCAGACCAGACCAGTTCTCTTGGCTGCTTCAAATGCTCAGCAATAATATTGGTTTTTAATGCATTTTCAAGGCAACTTTTGGACAGAGATACTACAGCAGAAGTATGTTGTAGGTCTTAACTGTCACATTTGTACTTGTGACCTCTGAAAATGTACTAAATTGCTTTACTATTGGTAATCAAATAGATAACAATAGAGTGGTAAATAATGCACGTTAAAAAATCTGTCAGTATTTAGAAATTACCAAATTCAGCCTTCAGCTAACAACTGAAACTACTAAATGCAATTACATTTCTTTAGACATGTTACTCCAGTCAGACATTTCTATTTTTTTCAAAGATTAAATGGATTTTTTAAATCTTTTTTTTTCAAATATTATATGGATTAAAAATGCATTTAAATCCTGGCATCAGAGGATAGTTTATTTCATCTGAATTCTTTGCATGTGTGATTCCAGAAAATTCATTACATTATGCAAAAGCAAATGGTTTTTAGTTTATTTATTTCATGATGCACTAAGACAGGGGAGAAAAATGCTGAAGTTAAACGCAACAGACCAATTAGATGAGGCATGATACACTGCTGAAGAGATCAAACTTTGTTCAGAAATACAATACCCAGAATACTTCCAGCCAAAATGAGTGGGAATATAGTTGTTGATGTCTGTTAAGCTAAAATTTAATTGTAGAAAAGTAATATTTCTTATTATAAGGTTTTCAGTGATCATTCTCTCTCCTAAATCTAATCTGAAAGTGACCAGCAATGCTACCAGATTGATTAGGTTGAGTAGTAATATGATGCTGCTGGGTTAACTTTTCCTGCACAGAGTACATCGTAAAAAAATTCTATCTGATACTTTTCAAATACTACATCCTGATGACTTGCTTTTAATCTTTTAAGTATGTGTGTGTATATACGTACGCATATATATATATGTACATATAAGTTCCATAGTGGGAATTTATAAAGATTTTTGGTTTTGTTCATGAGGGAGGAATTATCTAATTTGTTGTAATGGGAACTCGCTTATATTCAGTATTTTTATTGTCAAAAATAGAAACTGATAAAATAATAGAAATGGTAAAAGTACTTTTTTACTGCGAGACATAACAACTGGGACCTTGTCCTGCAAATCATTTTGCAATGTTTTTTAATACATGCCATTTTAATGGTCAGTAGCTGTTTTGCACATTCATTTTGGTCCAGCTATATAAAACATAAACTGTTCATTTTGGCCCAGCTATATGTAACATAAACTGCACATTTAATTGCTACATCAGGATTGAGTTAAGACTAACACTGCTGTGTGAGACAGAAGGATGGGGCAAGACGGGAAGGTGAGAAAATGACCTTAGGACAAATTACCTTCTAGGTTCTCGCAAAAATCTGAGTGAGATTCTGCTTTCAGGTTGGCTCCTGCAGCTTTCTGATCAGTAGCAGTGAACCAGGCTTGGGTGGTCTGCAACCAGTGGACATATTTGGATCACTTGTGCGCAGGAAAATGACCTGCGAGGTCTATGGTTTAACACTGCCAGGGGCAAGTAATTAATTCTCTGTTGCTCTAGGGAAGTCCAGCAGTGCCCTGGATGTTTCTGCAGTCTTTTGGAAGAACATCCTGCTCGTGTACTTAGTTTAGCAGAATAACACATTCATTTTTCTCAATAATGGTAATGTCAGCAAAAGGGAGAAGGCAGAAACTCAGTCTGTGCTTGCTTGCTACTACTGTAGAAAAGCAGACTTAATTAGGAAAATTGACTGTATTTCAAGGACATTAACTGTATTTCAAGGAAATATTGCCCACAATCAGTTGATAGGGTTGCATGGGGAATGTGAGCATAAGAAAGGTAAATCCTGTCAAGGGGATGTAAGTTTTAAGAGGAAAAGTGATTCCACTGCTTTTAAAATTTGCAGATCAGAGCTGTCCCGCCTGTCTGCGACCTCTTGAGTGTCCTGAAAAAGGAGGAAGAAAACTGTGCTGAGACTCTCTCACTGGAGGCGAAGAACAGAACGCCCGAAAATGATCCACTCCTGAGCTCAGGTAAAGGCTGAATGAATGTGCATAAAAACTGCTCTCAGGTGAGCTGGGTGGCCTCAAAATCAGGTACCCCCACATTCCTTCCCATAGGAGGCATGCACCTTGTATGCATCTCTCATTTAGGAGCAGAAAACCAGGTAAGATCTGTTATAAGGCTCCAAGAGTGGGATTTTGACCTTACTGTGACAGGAAGAGTCATAGGAGCCTTCTAACTCAGCTGCTCAACTGCAGTCCTCACAACTAGGGAGCACATCAGCAACAAAATCTTGCAAATTGCAGAGGATTTGGAATTCTTCTCATCTTGGACAAGGATATTTTTATAAAGTCAGCCCAGTAAGTGCAAATTTACTTAACTATATTTGCCTTCAAAATCAATGAATACCAACAGACAACATTTAAATCATGTGGCCTGAAGGTCCTCGTTGCTTCCTCCTTGCTCTAACTTTCTGTCACATAACAGAGCTCTGGCATTTCAGAGAGGATTTATCATCATATAAAGGAGTTTTTTGGCCTGGGAAGGTCTTGTGGTACTGAGTCCTCATCATGTAGACAGCTTTCTTTTCATAGCTGAGCAAGTGCTTTCACGTGCAAGGAGTCTCAGAGAGATAACTGCAAGCAATTATTGAAGCTTGCCTATGAACTGAGTGTTAGCTCCCCCAGGCAGCAGCTGGGTCAGCATCTCGGAGAGTACATTGGATGGACCCAACAGGTGTGACTATTTTTTGTGCATGACCTGCCATCGCCACTAAGGATGGATTTCTGTCATTCACAGCATCTCGCAGACTGAACTGTTTCTGGGTGACTTTTGTGGACAATGACATGGCAAGGTCCTCACCAGTATGGAAAGTGAAGGAGCTCCCGTGAGATGTGCTGTGTGCAGGGTGTCCTGGCGAGAGATAAGCTACCATGTGGAGCAAGAGTTGAGGCTTTTTCTTAGTTTCAAAGCTTTCCTCTCTAGCAGAGAGTGTTGGAGACACAGAACCATTTCACTATGACCTGGCCCAAAGGCAGGACTCAGAGGGAAGATCTATTGCCTAGTTTCTTAGGATGCCTAGCATTTTTCTCTGTCTTTGTTTTATCCCTGTGAGCCTTGCAGACTGATGGGTGTGAGCACATCTTCAGGGCATTATGCCCATGTAGCAGTGACGGGGTACCTCATGGCAGGTTGCCAGATACTCCAGAATACAGATCTGTCTTATTACATATAAGAAGTTTGATGATATGAATAAATCAGTATTGTTTGTTTCCTTCCCCGGTGCCCTTCACCGAAGAGGAGGGTGGTTTGACAACCTATCTATTTTTCTGCTTTGATCCTGTGACATGGCTCTAATGCTGAGCTCTGCATTTCCTCTGCACCAGAGCTCCGAAGATGCAAACAAGTTAAACTTCACAGGACTGTGCAGGTGTGGACCAGCACTAGCATTAGCAGGCAGTACCGTTTTACAGATGGTCTCATTTTATCTGTCAAATAGTAGCTCCTCAGCAGAAACTTAATCCAGTTCTAAGTTGGATCCAAATCTTAAAAATTCCCCCGAAGCCTTTTGTTACTGGAAATTTTTGAACAGGATAATTCTACCCTCTGTGCCCCTCTCCCCAAATCTACAGAGAGAGAAGTTAAAAATATAGGATTGTGTTAAGTCATTGAGAAAGCATTTCCAATGGCTGTCAAAATTGCTCTTTTAACACTACAAGTCAGATCAAACAAGGCATAGTGCTGTAGGCTTAGGGCTACCCACGTAGCAGAAAGCTTTAAGATGAAAGTGGCCAGAGTGACTAAGCCCCTTTCTGTCTCTGTAACTCTGCAAACACCATCTCCTGGCAGTGAGTCCCCAGAAGAATAAACACGGGTAAGATGCACATCTTTCCACAAGTACTGGTTCCTGAAGAGAGAGCCCAGGGATTTCCTTCTGCTGGTCTTTACTCAAGGAGGGTTTGTTACCTTGGTAAATTATGGAGTAATGCTTTTATTCTGGGAAATAATGCATCTGAAAATATCTCCAACCTTTGATTATCTGCATGTCTGAGGTCCGTGTGCAGAAAATCCCATACAGGAACTTCAGCTTGAAGAAGAGAGAAATAAAGCTCTGGGGATTCAGTGCATGTCCTTGGTGGGTCGTGCAGGGAGAGAGAAAGGCGGCTTTGCAGGGTGTAGATCACCTTCCATACCCCATCCTTCCTGCATCTACCCCAGAAGCTTTGACTGGTGCAGGCAGGAAGAAGGGCAAAGCAGGGGACAAGCTTCCACGGTGTTGTCTCTGCTGCAGTGCTCACATCTCTCTGAAAATGGCACAAACGCACAGGATTAGTTGCAGGTGAATCAGGCACAAAGTACCTGAGCAGTAAATGTTTCTTATCCTCCTGCAGTGTAAGGAAAAAGGGACTCTGCCATTGTGATACCGTTAGCTTGGAGGAGAGAGAAGTGTTACATTAGTGTAACCCAAGTCATGGTCATGCTCTTTTTTGTGCATGAGTGAAGATGGGATAATTCTCTCAGGTGCAGGGAGCAGGTGAGGGAAGCTGCTGGAGGTCTGAGACCTCTTGGTCATGGTGACACCATGTATTGTTGCTAGGGAAATGCTGTATTTGCTACTTGAGGGAGGTCCCAAAGAGCACAGGGATATCAGGGAGGTGCTGCTGTGCTCTGCCTCCACCCAGGAGGCTCTTTAGCTAGGTGGGGGTGGGTGGCACCGTCTTTGTTCCATGAGGAATGGCAAGAAGCCCACCTGCAGGAGGAATGGCTTGGCTGTTTTTTGTTTTCTCCTCCTGGGAAGAGACCATCCCAACACCATAATTTTGCCAGGTTTTTCTGTGCACTGAGTCTGATTTGGGGACTTTATGCCAGTGGTGTTGGCATGAAGGTTCGATAACCCAACAGCACGGCTAGGCATAAATATCACCCAAGGTGATGTTTCATTTGCCGTTAAACTATTGCTTTGAAGTAAACGGTTACCAAGTCCTATAAATATTGGCACAGCAAGGACACCAGAGCTGAGGTGCCCTGGCTGTGAAAAGCTCTGTATTTCCAGGCACTAGGACTGTTGTGCAGGAGGAAATCAATAAATTTATAGAAATGTAAATATTTTTGTCAGGCTAATGGAGGCTGGCCTTATAAAGCATGAAGCATTTGAAGAGAGCACTCAGCACTTCCTCCCTTCTGCTTTCAGTGAGCGTACAGGGCATTCTGCACATGCCAGGACCCGCCAGGCGTAGGGTGGTCCTGGCATGCTCCAGTGGCCTCTTTTTTCCCTGTCATGTTACAAAACCCACAGAGAAGGCTTTGCTAAAACCAACGATAGTGAGCAGAGGCAACAGGGAACCAGCCTGAATTATTTCAGCCTATGTATGGATAAAAGCAAAATAAGAAAGACCAGGAGTGCAGTTTCTCTGTAGCACAAGGGGCATCAACTGTAGGTCTTCTCTATTAACACTCTGCACCACAGGCCAAAATTCAACCATGCCAGCTTCTAGCAGCTAAGCAAGATATCTAAGTTGAGATCACCATCATGCTGTGCTCCATTGACCATCGGCTCCCTGATGCACCTCTTACCAGCCCTGCCAGAAGGCAACACAGCCAAGCTGGAAAAGCCTCCCTCACACCCTGACTGTAGGAGGGGACCAAGACAAGCCCAACCTTAAAATAAGCAGCCCCTGCACCTAACTGAGGGAAATGGGATGAATCTGGGTGTTGTTGGTCAGTGCCTGCAGGTGTGGAGGCCTCAGGTGGCAGAAGGTACAGGGAGGGCAACTGAGCCATGGGCTCACGCCTGCAGAGGGCCCAGCGGGACTCCAGGTTCAATGGCTGCTCTGAGATGGGCCCTCCAACAGGCAGGTCACACTGTCAGAGGCCTGGCCTCAGAAAGAACAGTAGTACAGGCAAATTGTGCCAGCATATTGGTGTGAACCCACATTTTGCCTTGGCCTGTAAATGTGATGATCTTCCCTTTACAGTCCCAGGGACTGGCAGAGCTTGGCGAAGTTTTGCTCTCCTGCAGCAGAAAAGCCATTGAGACCTGCAGCCAAGCCCAGCAAGTGGTCCATTGGTGTTATTCACTCCAGCACAGTCTTGGCATAATGAAAGAGATGAAGAAGCAGAGAAGTATTTATGGTGGTACAAGGACGACCGACATTGATACTGTTCCTCTCTGCCCTTTCCCCAGTATCGTTCTAAAGCTGTTTAAACTCCTAGTCAAGTTGTATCTTTTTCTGCTTACAAAAGGATTATGTAAGAAAAACATCAGGGTGGCTCAAAGTGGGAGCTTTAGAAAGACTGAAAAGTGAGCTAAAAAATTCACATCTGGTTTCCTTCATCTTTCCAAGGCCATTCAATAGTTACCAGAAGACAGATGGGTAGCCAAGGGCCTGATGCAAAGTTCACAATGGCCCAAGTTACTCTTTGTCTGGCTAGTAGAGACCAGTGGAGTCAAGGACCAGAACGGGATGGGCCTGGAGCTTGCTGGGGCTGGTTTGAAGCAAGCAGGACCTGTTCTGTCCTATCCAGGTCTCAACAGGTCTCAGCAGGACTTGCTCTGTCTCATCCAGCTTGCTTTTCAGAGTACTGAGCATCTTTGTTCCCGTAGCTGCCTCGGTTCTTGGGAGATACTACATGGTGTTTCGTTACTTGGAGATGTTTCATAGTGTTGTGTTGTTGGGAGAAATTTCATGGTGTTTCGCCACTGGGAGATGCTGCATGGTGTTTCGTTGTTGCCCCCCCCAGGCAGATGTGCTGGAATGTGGGATAACATGAGCTGCTGGCCTTCGTCCGCCGTGGGACAGACTGTCAACGCTCATTGCCCTGAATTCTTCCAGATGCTGACTGGGAAAAAAGGTAACGCTAAAAATAAGCTTTTCCTGCCCAGGTGTTTTTTATTGTTATTTTATTTTTAAATGTGTTATTTACAAAAATGCCACTGTCAGGTCTGAGCTTGAAGTGAAATTGTGTCCCTGCTTCTTTTAAAGACTGATGGTCACTTAACGGCTCCATTTCCAACACTAAGCTAAACTTGGGAAAGCCTGGAAGTAAAGTAGCAAGATGTTTTAAGTGTTTATTTTTCTTAGCCAGGTGGAGAAAGGGGCAGGAAGTAAACGCTATCCTGAGAAGCAGGGTTTTAGCATGGTTTCTTAAAGGAAAGAGTTTTCCCCACTCAGGCTCTGTGTTTATTTATTTTTGTCTTTCCCCTTCTAATAACTCTTAAAGCCAGTGGCTGATCTCAGCTGAGCTTGATGGGGACAAAACTTCACACAGCATTACATTCATACAAGTTTTGGCACAACAGCCAGCCAGTTAGGGGGAAAAGATCCTTTTTTGCCTCTGTCAGGAGGAAATCTGCACTGGGGGTTCATCCCTTGGTTGTGACAGGCTCCACACAAGTGGCACAAATCCATGGGAACTCAGGTTTCATGGCTCACCAAACAACTTACTCAAAAAGAGATGAGCTCAAGCAACGTTTGTTGTCCTTTCTCTGGGATTTCTAAGAAAGAAATGAAATGAAATTTATTGCCAGTATACTACAGTAATCATGAGTCATTAAGTAGGAGTTTCTGCCTGCTTTCTGTTCAGTTCTACTTTTCAGCAATGCCCAAGAAATGTTCTTACATTTCTCTTTAGCAAGTTAATGATTCAAATCGAAAGAGGGTTTTTCATTCTTCGGTTATAGGGCATGGGCTAATGAGGGCCAGTACTTACAGAAAAGCAGACAGATTCGTTTTATGGAGGGAGGAATGGGAGACAAAGTATTAGATTGTCTAATAAAGATTAAATAAGTCAGAGGAGAAGCACTTAGTGCTCTTTAAATAAAATCAGACATGAGCCATTCAGATTAAAATAAATACTGTGCTACTTTCTGTACACACAAACAGTAGCTGCCCACTGAATCCTATAATCTGGTTTAAAGACAGAGGATAAACTACACAAAGACACAGATCGCTGAGGAAATAATCCGTCCGACATGCACTCACAAATCTTTAGCATAGTGATACCCGTCCTTAAATGTATTAAATGAAATCCCTGCTGGTACAGCCACTAGAGGGAACCGCTCCCTGCCTCTGGCCCTCGGACCGGAGAGGAAAACAGGAATTTGTACGTCCAAAGGTCATAATTACATCTCAAACGCGCACTGCATTATCTTGGCGATAGTCTAACAGCTTTAAACTTTAGTTGCGCTCCTTATTGAGAAGCTGAGACCTGAACCACTTCTGATAAACAATAATCAGAGTGACGGTGTTTGAAACAGAAACCCAAGACATGGTCCATTTGCATTTGCATCTTATTTCGGTCTCTGCATCTGGCATTTTGGGTCAAAGTCAGCAATAGTTTCTTCTCATTCTCATAGCCACATTCTTCTCTGATTTTAACTGTGGTTGGCTTGTGACTCATGCGTTTAATTATTGCTACAGTGTTGCTCTGTTTGAAGCAATTTTGCAAAAGAAAAACAAAGATCTGTGTGCTTGAAAAAAAAGCAGAAGTTTTCTCTCCTCACCACTTACAAAGCAGATGGGCAGCCACGAATGCCAAAGACCCATACATTAAGGGACGCCGATAGCTCTGAGCTCTGACCAAAGCCTCGTCTCTGTGCTGTTGAGCTTTGTGCTGACATCTAGACTTGGATTTGCAGCCCAGATTGTCTGGACCCTTCCCCCATAACAGGCCAAAGAGACAAAATAATCTGGAACCAAGGAACATAACTGAAGTTCACATCCAGACCTGCACATTGTGTCTCAGGCAAGAAATGAGGAAAGATGTGACGACTGTGGGGATTCAGAGGCAGAGTAGAAGGCCACATCGAATGGCCCCAGTTCCACAGCCATCCCTTTAGCCAGTGTTCCCCCTTGCCTAGGCAACTCCAAAAGCCTCCAAGGCACCAGTAAACACCAAGCACCGGTCGTTAGACAGACTGCAGACCCCGAGTCTGCTCTGAGCTGGACATGCTGCAGTTTCCCCAGCGTGTGTGTCATAAGCAAGTAGCGTTGTTAAAATTGTGCTCACGTCCATCAATATAGTATGCCCTGCATAATCTCCCATGCTTTGCATATAAGACAATCGCATGCACACACCAACACAGAACTTCACCTCTTCTTGTCTGATCTACTTTGACATCCTCAGGCAAAAAACAGTTACAGGCATGTTTACAAGTACAACACTCTACTCAGAGTTAAGTACATGTGTCAATAACGGAAGCTGAAGTAGAGAATTTGCCACCATACCACTCCCTTGCTGGGTGTGAAGGCAGGTTGGGGAGAACTGTTTGGGAGAGCTGTTTCTCTCCTGTTGTTGCTGCACTGCAGCACGGTATAGAAAACCTGGCTTAAAAAGCAAGCCTGGCCTTTCCAAAGATGCTGAGCTGAAACAAGATGTTCATAAAAGCATCAGAATAATAGTCTGATACACACCCAGAGCTCTTCCCACTTGGAGATCTCAGCATGTTTGCTGTGCCTTGCAGTTTTACAGAGGTGAGTTCAAATCAAGTGCAGACATGCTGTCAGGTCACCAGAATTAGCCCAGAGGTAGCAGAAGCCCTGACGCTGTCCCAACAGTCCCAGCAGGGCTCCAAAGAGCATAAACCGGTGCCAAACGCTGCTGCACATGCATCTCCCTCTGTTCCCTCAACACTGCGGGGATGTTTTGCAGGAATTGGATGCCCTAGAGTCCCTATAGCTAGATGTGTGGGCAAAAATAGACTTTTACGGTGCCTTCTGGCAAGGCTTCTACTAAGAAGGGCTGCTGATTTCAAGCCCTCTCTAAGTCCTTGCTAGTATTGCCATTACTGCAGCAAAGCCAAGATTTCACTCCATGTTTCTAAAGTGTGGCAGACATCTGTCCTACCTGACAGATTAATGTGATTAGGACAGCAGGCAGTGGTTTTACTTCTTTGTAAAAGTTTCTTTTCTCTTCAGCGCATAACCTACATGCCTGCTAGGGTCATTTTCTTCCAATGAGATTGTAAGGTGTGTAGGGCAGGTCTTCCCACTTCCACTTTAGTGCCAAACATGAATATGGACGTGTTCAAACATGTCCTATTCAACCATTTGCAACTTGCTGGGGATCCATCTCACTCAGCTTTAGGAGTCTAAAAGTCAGACGGCCCAGCAGAAGTGGGTCAGACAAACTGCCCTCTGCAGATGTCTGTCTGAAAATGAGATGAATTCTGCAAATGCCTCTTTTTCTCCATCGACTAGAAAGACAGCCATGAGGGACACAGTTGGACTCAAGCATTTAGCTTTCAGAAGGCTAACCTGAGTGAGAGGAATCCCATCCTAGCCTTTAATTTGCAAGTAAGCAAGGACATCAACAGTGTAAGATAATGCCCAGACCTGGCTGTGGGGACAAACCTTTTAGTTTTCATTTGAATCTCACCAAAAATCTGTGACCATCTAAAGTTTTGTGTTCTCTTCAGACCATGACAAACCACAGTAAGGGGGTGGGAGCATTCAGGGAAATATCAGGTTTGCATGGAGTATGAATCTGTGATTGAACAAGTCATGTGTTTGCTGATCTTGGAATACTGGCCAAGAAACACCAGATGTACCGAACAGTATTATTTATGTTGTAATTAATAAAAACACATCCATCACAGTCATCCCTGAGTGGGCAAACAATATTATGACCCACACAAGTACACTGGGCAAGTATCAACATAATTAGCTTGGCTGTATTTCACCTCCAGCTATGCAGAGTGCACTGCCTGGGGGAAAATATTCTCTTTGCTCTTGGAGCAGTCCTACACGTTGGTGACTGACCCCCGAGGAGAACAAAGATACAATTGGAAATGATCACACCTGGTTTTGTCTTTTTTTGTTGTTACCACACAGGTTTTGTCTACCGAAACTGTACGAGCGAGGGTTGGTCAGACCCATATCCAAGACCCGATATCGCTTGTGGCTACAATGTCAATGACACGACAAATGAGGCGAGAGTGAGTCTGAGTGCCTGGGACTGCAGATCTGCTGCTTTGGGGCCCTGGGGGAGGAACATGTTAAGGAGAGACTGAATGATGTGATTTAACTCAGGTGGGGTTATTGTTACAGGCCTTTTTCAGCATAAATGCTTCCTCCAAATGATCAGAATGGGTTGCTCAGGGTAAAACTTCAGTAGCTGATTTTACAAGAAAATGTATTTGTTAAATAGGAGGAGACACCTTTCTCTTGCTATGGGCTGATTTCTACCAGACAGTCAAAGTTAAAGATGTGAATATATGTTCCCCTGCAGCGTTCCTATTTCATGACTCTGAAGACCATGTACACCATCGGATACTGCACCTCCCTCGTGACGCTGACGATAGCCTTAGCGGTCTTGGTCTCTTTTAGGTGAGGAGAAGCATCTCTGGTTTGTGTTTGGCCAGGACTTCTGGTCATCTCAGCTGACACAGATCCTTCTGGTGGCTTTCAGGGCAAGTTAAAAATGGAAGTATTTCTGAAAACCTTCACAGAAATCAGTGACAAAAATGATCTCTGAGTCTTGTCTCCCAGAAAATGTATGGGCTGCTCCTCATGTTGTGTTCTCCTGGCCTTTCCAAAATGTAGCTGGACGTATTTTGCAGACTGGCATTTGCACCACCTCCCTGCTGAGATCTTCCCATGACTTCGGTGTCCCTCGGGCAGAGCGTCTTTCCCCCTGCTGTTCTTTTTCCCACTTGAGACCGTGGCTAAAACTTTGCTCTAAGTGTTGCTGCACTGACTTCTGGGAAGGTTTTCAGGTTTACAGCAGCGATCTGACAGTCAGCTTATCTTCACGCATCCTTATAACCTGGAATTTGTACTTTGCTGCTTATTCAGTGAAATGAATTTCCCTTACAGTAAGTGTCAGGATGGCATCTCTGGGCAGAAGGAGCCCCAACTACTTTGCAAACTCATCTTCAAGCTGCATGGCCTCTGGACCCAGATTATGTGGAGATTTAATACAGAAAACATTGCAGGCACAAGTGCACTGTGCAGGCAAACCAAATAAATCCACCCAGGACTGGATAAACACCTTGGGTTCATGTTACTCCAGAAAGGAGGGAGGGAGGCTAGACCAAGCATATTGGTGTGAAATCACAATTCTTCTGGCAACGTTCAGCTTGTTTTAGTACCTGAGTGGAGCAAATGTGACTTTAGCTTTTTAAAGTCCTCTCTAGGATATCCCTCTTGGGAAATGCATTCGTCTTCCTTTCACAGACAGAAAAACAGTGTTCCTAATTTGTCAGTTTAGCATTAATAAGGATCGAAACCTGCTGTTTACAGCCACAAGCTACCCGCGTGTTGTGGTTTAACCCGGCCGGCAGCTAAACACTACACAGCTGTTGGCTAGGAATGTAACTTCACCGGATCTCTCTCTCTTTTTGTAACAGAAAACTTCGCTGTACAAGGAACTACATCCACATGCATCTCTTCACATCGTTCATTTTGCGAGCCTCATCCAACTTCATCAAGGATGCTGTTTTGTTTTCCTCTGAAGACACAAATTACTGTGGGGCATACACGGTAACCCTCTGCCTTCCAGCTTGCTCCACGCCTCAGTTTCCCAGCAAGATCCCAGCAGTAGTTAGTGTGCAGGGAAGGAAGTCTCTGTCTCAGCTTTCCATTCAGCATGAGGGGTTATGGGAGAGGAAAGGTATGCCCTGTCCCTTCTCTATCACTCAGTCCTGCGTGTTGGTTGTTCCTGGCTGAGATTTCCCCGTTTGGGGGATTCTGCATGGGTGACGGTTATATGAGGACACAAAAGCAGCCCGGGCTGGAGCATACACACAGAAACCCAGGTACGGTTCCTCCCAGCTATAGATGCCCCTACAAGTATTGGAGCAGAGGGCATCCAGGTCAGTCTGAAGTAGGTACCTGCATTCATCATCTTGATTGCATTGACTAGATGTCCACAGAAGGCACCAGGAGTTCAGCACATTGACCCAGAAATGCCTAAACATGGGTGACTCAGGGCGTGAACGCAGGATACACCACCAGGGTGGAGATTCTTACATGGATTTTAGATCCTGGTAGATGGGGCTGGCAGGAAAAGTACGAGAACACATTAAATATTGCTGACATACTACAGTGTGAGACCTGATAGTAAGATATGGGTTTGCACCCAGAGAGCCTGGAAAAGGAACCTCCCAAATTTTCAATTGTTTTTTCCTTTTTCTTTTTATTGGCAGCAAAATATCTTGAAAACTGGGGGGGGAAGCACTGGAGACAATGTTCAATGCTTTAAGCCAAAAGATAAGAATTAGGGAGGGAAACAAACAAACAAAAAGGCTTTTTTTTTGTTTTACCCCCCCAGTTTTGCTGGATTTTTGTTGCTGAACAAGAACATTTTGATCAAATTTTAACTTGTCTTTATTGACCCTTAGGAAAAAAAAGACTGACATACGTTCACGTGCTGCTCTAAGGTGATATTAGTGCCAGTGATACTAATAAGGTAGTATTAGTGAAAGTCCTCTAAGTGAGACAGTAACCCAAAACCACGTGTCCATGACACGTTTGGTTCTTGCTAGTGACGCAGTTGATTAATGCATTTACGAGTGCCAGTCCTGCTTTCTTGTCATGTGAACGCCTGTCTCAAGGCCACCTGTTTAGTCCCCTAATTGCTGTAAAATCTCTATTTGCCAAGATTTATTTACAGCTCGCTCTCTCTGTTAGAAGGTAGATACAAACCCAGGCAGAAGCTAATTATCCTCTCTTTCCTCAGGCTGGGTGTAAGCTCACCATGGTCTTCTTTCAGTATTGCATCATGTCTAACTACAGCTGGCTCCTTGTGGAGGGACTGTACCTCCACACTCTCCTGGTTATTTCTTTCTTCTCGGAAAGGAAGTTCCTCTGGCAGTTCATCGCCCTCGGATGGGGTACTGGTTCTCCTTTCAGTAAGAATAACTGTGGGTTTGTTTTGCCTTTGGGATGGACTTGTGGAGCAGTAACTAGCTTTTCCACTCGCAGGTGCCCCAACTGTGTTTGTGGTCGCATGGGCAACTGCTAGGCAACTCCATGAAAATGTTGGGTAAGTTGCGTGTAGGGGGGAAGGTGGCATGCCGGGGGGAGCATGCAGCCCCCGCACAGGCTGCTCCACAGGGTCCTGCTCATTCCTAACCGCTGGCAGCCAAGCAAACCAACCAGCAGCCTGCTGTGGTGCGAACCTGGATCCTAGCATAGGTGGGAGTAGAGGTCCAGCTGAGCAACCTGAGAAAGAGCCTCCAATTTCATCTGAGCATTTTCAAGGGTAGGAGGTAGCCTTCAAGTATGAATTCAGCCCATGATGTTTTCGGCATCCATGTTTGACTTTCTGATCAGTGAAACTTTGTTCCTTTCTCTTCTCCCTTCCAAAATTTTGAACAGTGGTTGTACTTTAAGGGCAGGATGTACTTTTGTCCTGTGTAGGTGGATAGTTTTCTGTCAGAAATGTTGTGCAGCTAAGTGAGAACAGGAAATTAATTTTGTAGAAGGAGGGACCTATCTGAAGTGCAAAACAGACTAAACGCCTTTGAAAAGACACCGGTGTTTTGGTAACTGACTGCACCTTCTCTTCTATTTTTACAGGTGTTGGGACATTAACGCTAATGCCAATACCTGGTGGATCATTAGAGGCCCTGTAGTTTTGTCTATTTTTGTAAGTCTTTCCTGGAACAAGCAGATTCAAACTGTATTTTCAAATATTGTGAAGTCAGAGATCATCTACTCAACATGCTTTAGGAGTGTGTTAATGAACTGATCTTAGACATGTGCCTGAACTGGTGTGACACATGAATTACTGCTTAAGCAACTTCTGCTCAGCAGGATTTAGTCAGTAACTAATGCCCCGAAGCTAAGTTCACAAGCAAAGCTAGAGTGTCCTTCCAAGAAGCAAGAGCCTGAAGAAGATCAGGTTTCCACATCCTGTTGATTTCATATGAACTTGGCCGGCTTGTGGAAGCTTGTTTTGGACTGTTTCAAGGAAGGCTCCAGAGGAGAAACGAAGTGGCTGTACAGTTCAGTACAATCGCCTTTGTGTCTCCCGGTCAATGCCCCTCTCAGCAAAGCCAAAAACAACTTGCCTTACATGACCATTAGCTTTTGTTTTCAGCAATGAAAGCAGCTCACAGGCTGCACGCACCACGTGTTAGTGGACTGCAATTATACTATTATGGTATTGTTCACTGAAATAAAGCATAGGCATTGAAACTCAGTGTGAACCTGCCCAGTACAAGGCAGTAGCGATGTAAAGTACAGTTTGGTACAAATAATACTCAACACATATGGTTTGAGCATTTGCTGGTGCTCACCTTCAGAGCCTTAGGTACCAAGGGGCTGGAGCTGCTTCTTGGAGATAGTTGTTCTGCCCAACTGAGATGTTCTGGGGCAGACCACTCTGCAATGATCAATCTGAAACCCTAGTACAGAAACACTCAAGCTGCTACTTACTCTCAAGTAACCTGCTGACACTCCAAGCGAGAACCCAAGAGTTGATTGAGGTTTTTGTGTTGCCAGTAGGAGCCATTATGTTTGCAAAGCACGAACTGCAACACTTGCATGCTCTCTTGGAAACCCAAGCAGCAGAGATGGTGGGTTAAAGTTCTGCTCCCATTTACCACTGAGCAATCCTTCACCCCCACAAGACAAGCAGAAGACCACACAAGTGATTCATGATCAACTTAATGAGGCCACAGCATTTATTTTTCTTAATTAATCAACCCTTATGCTCCAGGAGCCACTCGGCAGTATTTAAATGCCAACAAGGCCCAAGCATTCTGCAAGGCAAAAAGCACAATCTTAATGTATCTTTTGAGGGCCACCCGCTATCCCCTTCCAAGTTTCAAAATCCTGATCACATCTAGCTTAGCCACTTAAGGCTGGAGCCTCCTGGATGACCCTGCCTCTTTACCTAAAAGAGGCTTTTCTCAAGCCGATAGCCACAGACAAACAAACAGCCAGTCCTTCAGAATTCAGATCTAATCTCTTTATTCCTCACAGCGCACAATCCTTAGCAGTTCAAAGGGCAGAAAATCAACACCGATAAACTCCTTTGTGCTCCTAGGCTAACATTCATTGCTGTGCTGCCCACGGGCAATCCCTCCCAGTTTTTTTTTCCCCCCTTCCCCCCTTCCCCAGTAGTTTTTCATCAGCAAAAAGTCCTGCTCAGCCTACACAGCTCTTGCCTGGCCTGCTGGGTTAAAAACCCCGGAGTCCTCAGACCTGAACCTCCTTTTCCCCCAAACACCCCCAAAATATTTCAGTCTTTCCTCACTCCTAGCTTCTCCCAGCTCTGCTCCTTTCCTCATCCCTCCCCAGCTCCCCAAACTTCCAGCCCTCTCCAGACACCCTCAGCAGCTCAGACCACGCAGCCACAGTTGCTCCCTCTTCATCGAACAATTTCAGGAACCCAGGGACATCCTGGGTCTGTCCCATCTACAGTAGACCCGCTTCTCTTAGGGAAACCCGCCACCTCAGAGCCCTGCTCCAACACCCGCAGGCACGTACAAGCCACCAGGAAGAGAATGCATCGCTGCGATGGTGTTTCCAGGCGTAGGGAAGGGTTAAGGGCCTGCCACGGTGCAGGGTGTTTGCAAAAGGGCTGCTGGTGTGGGTCGGCGGGCAGTGCCGGGGGCAGGAGGAGCGCAGGGCGCTGCCGAAGCCCTGATGCAAAGGGCAGATAAAGCCCAGGTCGCTCCCTGATGCCGTGAGAGCGAGGCGCTCGGCCTGGCTCTGCCTCCCGGGTGACTCCCGCTCTTTGCCTGAGGGTCAAATGAGCAGAAACAGCTATTGCTTCACCCTCGCCCAAACCAAGCAGCAGATCAGCATTTTTATCTGATACCCACCCTTGGAGAGGGGGAAAATGCAAAAGGAAGAACTTCAGTGTCGACTCTCTCCTATCCCCACTTTTAACCATTTTGCCTCCATCATCCCAAACCATGCTGTGTCTTTTGGCAGGGAACAAACGGCATTTGCAGTCCCAGTTAGCAAGTGGCAGCTCTGGTGCTGTCCCTCTGCTGGCATCCGAAGCGGGGCCAGACTGTGCAGAGGCTGTCTGAACCCCTCAGCCAGAAGGGATCCTACCGGTGCAGCTGGTCTCCCTGCCCTTTGGTGATTTGTCTGGATAATAAGCCCTGATCGTCCCCATAACTAAAGCTGCAGCAAACCGGCGGGGAAAGCAACCGGCACTGGAGCCCACGGTGGCTGGGCAGGCTGGAGGGGGAGGGACTGGAAGGGGGACAGGGATGTGGGCAGGCCAGCCCCAGCCCCTCTATTCTGCCTGCTCAGCCAAAACACCCCAGACTGGCTCTGCTGATACCTGGCAGTTACGTAAGTGGTTATTGGGCATTTGGTTTTGTTGTTTGGGCTTTTTTTCACGTCCTTCCTTTTGTTTTTTTCAGATTAATTTCATTCTTTTTGTCAACATTTTAAGAATCTTGATGAGGAAGCTCAGCTCACCTGAAGGACAGAGCAGTGATTTCAACCAATACAAGTATGTTCCTTACATCGCGACTTTATGCCACATGAGCCCACCCGAGCTCCTCTTGCTCCTTCTACACCAGTTTTCCCCTCTGTTTTCATTCTCAGGAGACTTGCAAAGTCAACACTTCTCCTCATCCCTCTCTTTGGGGTCCACTATATCATCTTTGCTTTTTTCCCCGAAGATGCAAGCAGCGGCACAATGGAAATTCAGCTGTTTTTCGAATTGGCTCTTGGATCATTCCAGGTAATATTTGACAAGCTATTATTTCTTTAAAATAAGAAAACGAGGTATAACATATAACTCTGCAACAGAGCAGAGTCCCAATGGCAAAACCAAGCTGTCTGATTTCCCTTGAGACGCCTCATCCCCATTCAAAAGCTGAAACTGCAGTTCTAATTCTGTGACCACGGTTCTTTTATCTTTTAGGGCTTTGTCGTGGCTGTACTTTATTGTTTTCTTAATGGTGAGGTGAGTTTTGTGTGTATAATATTCTTTTTTATTGTTCAAGCATGCCTCATTAATCAGTAGGATACATTCTCCAATGAATTACATGTTTTATCTGAGGCTTTTCTTCCCAGCTACCTAACGTCACCGTGAAATACCTCCTAGACCTGGCAAGCCTAAGTAATTGTATGCCAGATGCAAACTTCACCTCTCAACTATTGCAGCCCTTCTGTAAATCAGATAGCATTATTACTGTCTGGGAATGGAGGGTGGGAGTACCATCCCGCACACGGTCACACTGACAATCAACTGGTTCTGACGCATGGTGCTATTATCTGTCATCCCATGTCTGTTTTCTTTGCTTGATCCCTGGGAGGGAATTTATCAAAAGCTGTATCCAGTCCAGGTTTATTAGGACTCTCATAAGGTAAAGCTTTTGGAAGAGGGACCGTTTCCTTTGTAGTCGTATGGTAACTCCCAGGCTTCTGGGCTAGAACTTGCACTCTGAAATGTTGCTGCTGGTAGAGGTGGGGGGAAACGTTATCCAAACCTGGGAGATCCTGAGGTTATTGGAAGAAAGCAAAAAAATACCAGTGCTTAAAGTTGGAAGAAAAGGTTGCTTTGAAATAGAAGGGGTTTGAAATGCTTTGACTGGTGCTTTAACAGGGTTCAGAAAAAGCTGTTTTGAAAAGAAAATCTGCATTTTTTTACCTGAGTGCCAAAATGTCCCATTTTTATAACTAAAATAAAAATCTTTGAAAAATCTAAACCAAACACTTATTAAGGACAGCTGGACTCTGTGAACAGTTTCACCAGCAATTAAACAGAAAAACAGGTTAACAGAAAATTGCGTAGCTGCAACAACAGTATCAGTAGAAGTGACAAGAAACAGGCCCTACCCTAACCCCTTAAATGGGGGGTTAAATAAATAAATCCAAACCTTGGCAAAGGTAACCCGCTCTCCTTCTACTGTTATACTGCTCTCCGCAATGCAGGGCTCCAAGATAAACTAGCTGAACTAAGTATTTTGTGACCTTTCTACCTAGGTTCAGCTGGAAGTTCAGAGAAAATGGAGGCAGTGGCATTTGAGCAAACACTTGCGTCAGCATGTCAGCACCTCAGCAAGTAACGGAGGAAGTGGCTTAACTCAAGAGATGCAAATAGTGAGGTCGAGCCCACCAGAGCACAGGAGAGCAACCCTCCAAAGATCAAGCGTGCTTTAACACTGTACACCTGGAGGATACCTCCATGCTCAGATACACGTGGTTAAGTCCCATGGACCGTGCTAGGAGTCTTGTGTATGTATCCAAAAGTGGGACTTTGCTGTAGATCAATGGTTCTTGAAGCACATCTGTTCATCTATGTCCTGTGTAGTACCAGAGTTATTTTCCAAGGCAAAATGGGCCAAAACATTATGCTCTTCCTTGGGTTTCTGGCCACAGTCATTTGTGTTTCTTTCCACGCCAATATTTTTCAGCTGCTATTTCTACCTTAAATGCGACCTTTCATTTTCCATGCGGCTCTCGCAACATGTTCCAGGCTAAGCCAGGCTGGTGAGTTTTAGATGTTCTCTATTTCTTCTGCTGTTGAAGCTGGGAGGACGTACAATTTTGTACGAAGAAGATTCCATGCCATCCTTTAACACAGCTCATGGATTCGAAACAAAAAATTAATTCATCCCTAAAATTTACCAAGATTCAAAGTCTTTCTGTTACGGTGATGGATGATGGACACTGAGAACATAAAGCATGGCTGAGCTAAAGCTTCCTATCCAGCTGCATATCCGTTGCTCAGGTATGCTCCAGTGATGGTGGCAGGTTCAGAGACTTTTCTTCCTTTGCCTCTTGTAACAGTGGAGATCTCAGAAATAACAGTGGTCCAATTTGGATTTTTGTATGTTTTTTGAAATGGTAAAAAAAGCTATTATAGCATATTCCAAGGGTGACCAAGAAAACTTCAGTAAGATGGCCCTTTCCTGTTGTGTCTGTACCTCTGAGACTTGTCCTGCTAGTCTTTGAAAGGAAGCAATGAAAGCCCCTGGGACATTTAAAACTCAATTGAACCGGACAGTACAAGGTATCGTATGAAAAACAACACCATAGTGGCTGGCAAAAATCTCTTTACAGTCTGTGATCACAGCGTGCTGAAATCTGCAAGACTGTGCACTGTAATACGGTGTCACAAGGAATCCAAGCTTCTGTTATAGCTTTATGTTCTTAAGGATAAAATTGTTAAGCAAATTTCCCTGGTTTGAGTTGGAAAGGGATAAAAGAACTCATCCGACAAATGCAATCAAGCCTCCTACTTGATTTTGTATCTGCACTTCCCCGGTTGGGGCAATTCTTGCCTGGTTTTCTTCAAGGGCAAAGATGACTGAACAGAAAGCAAGTGGCGTTTATCACACTTCTCCCTCCTCCTGGTCACCTACAAGACATGGGCAAAACGCGTGTGGTATGTCAAATGCTGACCAAGTGGCATTCCCCGACTGCTCTGCCAAAACTGCTCTAAGGAGCTTTTATTCACACCAAACCCTCATGGTAGACTTCTGCCATTTTACCAGAAGACAAGCGCACAGAGAAATTCAAAGGATGCTTTCAAAGTTAAATTACCTGTGCAGAAGCAGGTTTTTGAGTGCTATTAGCACCGTTTCAAACCCCAAGATTCAGGAAAAATGTCTTCTTTTCTCTGCCGCTGCCAACAGACCGCACAGCCTGCATCCCCCCGGTGAAGCAGGCACTGCAGGCAGCCAGGCGAGGAAGGGCACCTCAGCAGGAGGTTCGCTTTGGCCTTCCCTGCCCCAGTCAGCTTTGCTTGCCGATGCAGGTCACCCAGTAGCGGGAGAGTTGAACCTCTTTATAACCAGGAAAAAAGATCAAATACAAAGCAGTGAACTGGCAAGAGTTTCCAGGAATTAATTTTAAACTTACGTTTTTTGAAATGGCAAGGTTTTGAGTCGACTTTGTCCTTTAAAACTCAGCCAAAGCAAGTGAAAGGAAGAGCAGAAGCAGGATCAGTCCCGTGACTGAGGGGGAAGTGAAAGCCCCTCTGTGCACGTTTGGGAGAAAGATCTCACTTCTTGCTGACTTATCCAAGCCAAGCAGAGCCTCCAACCTTCTCGGGGGTTCACTCTGTCCCAGCACATTTAGCAAGTCAGATACTTCCAAAAAGATACAACCATTAGCATAATTTTCTCTCTGGCCTACAAATAAGACCAAGAAGAGTGAAACAACTTGTATGTTCCCTGTCTGAGAATTAAACCTTTATCAGTCAAGCCAAAGCAGATGTTTGTTTTAAATGCAAGTGCCTTCTTCCAGCATAAATGAAGAAATATAGATTCAGAGATACAATAACATGTAATTAATTAGACCTGATGCAATTATTGGCTCTCCCACAAGCCAGTGTAAGAGCTCAGCCCTGCAGTGCATAGTTAGGACCAGCACTGATGGCACAAGGTCGGGTGGAGCCCAGGCTGAGCGTGATACCTACTTGCACAGGAGTCCTGGTGAAACAGGGGCAAACCACACGCCCCGAAATAAAACACTGCTGAGTTTTGCATTTTAAAAAAAAGTTCTAGCATAAGTTATTGTTTTATATGGCCATTTTGGTTTTATTTGACTTGCCTGAAATCACCAAAAAAAGGAAGTATTCCCAGATTCTGCATTACATGTTTGCTTCAGGCATCGAGCACTGGCCTGGTTTGTATGAAGAGCTGAGGCTCCATAAAAACCCTCGGATATCAGCCAGCATTCGGAGTCCTTGGCTCTTTGCGAACAGCAAGTCCACTCGGGCAGGTGCCAGAAGCAGGTGGCCCCAGGCTTTACGGTGCCGTGACCTGGATGTAGAAAGCTGCTGCCAAACACCACCATAGTGGGATGGGTTCTCACCTCGCCCATCTTCTGCACAGGCAATGAAAAAGCACCCTTCCCTGCTGGGGATCTCTCTCGATTAACTGTACTGAAGAATACTGAAGAAAAGAGCTACTTAGCTCAGGGAACGCCGACATGTTTATAAGCAGATGAAGAGGAACAGGGAAGTAAATCTCAGTGAGCAATGCAAAAAAGTGGGAGATGAACGGGTGCAAGGCACTCAGACTCCAGCGTCAGCGGCCTGAAACAACTGACGCAGGCTGAACAAACTCCATATTCAGAGTTCACCGACTTCCCTTTCCTCGGTATTCAATGTAAAGCAGGCGTTTGTTATCAGTAAATAGGACTTGAGTACCATCTTTCAGACAAGTAGTTATCATTGTTCTGGGACACTGGTGACCGCCTCTGGCTATTCACTCCAGGTCCCCCGAGAAGCCAGTTGCAGCTCTGCAAGCCAGCGGTGCAGGCAGCAGCTCCAGCAGCCCAAACATCAGCGGTCCAAGACCTAAGACTGAATTTAAGAGGAAGTGATTAATGGATTTTCTCTGCCAAGACAGCAACGAGGAAGTTCCCACCAAAACTGTCAGAATCAAGAAGCAGTATTGTTGTGCAGTGAATAATTACATTGTGTAACGCCTCGCTGGGCATCAGGGGAGCTGAAATTAACTGTTTCAGAAGGGGGTGGTGCCAATTCAGAGGGGTTGGATCCACGTAAAGGTGACAGGCTCCAGGAATCCAGCCAACACTCCTTTCAGGACACACCCCAGGGCAGACCTTCCTTTTACCCAGAAACAAGGCCCTTACATGTGCAAGATGACATGGAAGGTTTAGAAGGGCT